CCTATGTCCGATAGTTGGGCAGAGAGGACAAGAAATCCTCATCAATACCATTGCATGGCATGTATACTAGATAGTCGTCGGGGAAGGTCAGGGTGTGTCGTGTAGATATAACTCCCAGCAACACTGGATTGTGTTGGAAGGACCTAGGAGGTATTGTGTAAGAATGGGGCTGGGACTTGTCCTCAGGGAGGAACTTGTAATCCATGGGCTAGGATCATGTCTACTTTATTTATTGGCTGACTTTAATAGTCCAAGCATGAACCCCTGCAAAGGGTTGCGGGTAATGGAAACTATTGGGTTAGTTTGAGAAGATGATAGAGATGCGGTTTCTAGAAGGGATAGAGCCCTCAGTATATTTGTGATATTCCTGACACTTTGGATCCAATTCCCATCAAATCTTCTTAAATAAGTTTAACTATGTTTTAGTTTTTGAGAAATAGTTTAGCTATGTTTTAATTATATTTTAGTCTTTAAGAAATAGTTTAACCATGTTTTAATTATATTTTAAATAATTAAAATAAATTTTTAGACCTTTCTAGATATTTTATTTTAGTGAAAAGGATTTTAAATAAGCAAAAATCAGTTAATTGAGAGAAAAAATATTTATCGATTTTCTATGATTCCTTTTATTTATCTAAAATTCACTTTGGTGTGTAGAGGCCTATTGGAGCTTTGGGCCCACCACATTTGAGCCCATAAGGTGGGGGCGTGGGCCACACATAGCCCACCGTGTGTGGGACGCCCCACATAATTCATCTTTCGTTTTGAGTGCGGCTTGTGATGGAAGCCACCTAATCGATTTGAAATAAAAGAAAGGTTTCGTGAAATTAGAATTGATTGTTTTAAAAGAGGAAGGTATAGAAGATTGATTGAAATCTAATATGTAAATACATGCTATTTTCTCTACACGGGGAAAAGAGTTATGGAAATTGAGGGATAATGAATTTAGCTAATTCCTTTAATCATAATGGCTGACCTAAGAAACGAAGGGTTAATATCTCTTCAAGCCACAGGTCTCCACGATCTATGGTCAAGATTAAGTCTCACAATGATGGCAAAATCCTAGACCTCCAAACCCTAGCCTCTCTATAAATATTCTCTATTTTGCATGTTCTCTACACACTTGGGATTGAATTGGCCTCTGTCTCTCCCATAGGCAGTTACGCCCAAGCTCTCTCTCTCTCTCTTGTTCATTTTCATAGGATTCTAATTGTTATAGTAAGGTTAGAAGCCCTAAGGGGAGGCACGCCCAAGCCACAAGGGTGGCACGCCCCACTCTATGTGTTTGACCATAGAGGTTGTGCTTTGTGCTTGAGTTGGTTCCATCCCATGTCATGCTCTTAAGGAGTTTTTCCTAGGCTTCCCGAATTATAAGACAGGGTTAGGACTGAGATTCTGTGTGCCATTGGTAGAGGTGTGAAGTGTACGAAGTCCTTGGGGGTAACCCGAAGCAAGGTATTTGGTATTCTAATTGCTCCATGTTTCTTGATTTTTCATGCATTGTATTTTTGTATAATTATATAAAAACTGTAATGGTATGCTAGAGAAGATCTTAGAATGTATTAGGGTAAATTTTATAAATAAAGTCATATTTTTTGACAAATGTAAGTGTTCTAGCCGATATGAATAAAAGAAAAAAAAAATTTAATTGTATATACTTGGCTAGATCAAATTGTCCATCTTTCAGGTATGGTCCTTGATAGACAAGAATAGAGGAATAGGATTCATGTAGCTGACCCTAAATAATTGGGATAAGGCTTAGATGATATATATATATATAT